CCCCCCCCCCACTCTTCCTGGAGTTTCTATGGTTATCTGTTGGATACTTCACCCACTCTTTCCTGCCATTTCTTCTCACAATGTAGCATAATTGAACATAACTAGTCTTACTATACAAATCAAGTCACTGTCAAACTAGCAGGGAGAATGGGTTGCTCTCTGCAATGGTTTCCACAGTCTTTCTTGCTGCCTGGGCTGCCTAAGCCAGTGCTTTATAACATTGTCTACTCTATGTTTGTGCAGGTTTCAGAGTACAGACATTATAGACCAGAAACTGAAGATAACTATGCTAACATGTACTGGAGAACAGACAACATGGAAAGAGAAGATGGTGAACTATCCTGGTTCAACTCGGGCGTGAGGGTTGGTGTAGGAATCGGACTTGGTATCTGCTTGGGGATTGGTGTAGGAGTTGGCTTGCTCGTGCGCACTTACCAGGCAACTAGTCGAACTCTAAGAAGGCAGATTATATGACATGATTTCTCTTACTAATCTTTCATTGGAGTCCTTGTCTTAACCTTGAGATTCAGAAAGCCGACAGCAATGGTTTGTGTCAATAATATCCATCTCTGACAGCAGAATTTGTGTCCTAGCATGTTTGTTTCACAACATGTGTATAGAAGCTCAGCTAAGCTAATATCATTTCTTTATCAAATGACTGCACATTACTCGTTGTCTTCTTGTGAATAATCTGTTTCTGAGATGTGATTGAAAGGAAGACTGTTTTTTGAGATGGGTTAGATCTCTACCACTCAATCAAATTGACCGATCTTTTACAGGATAATCAAAGTGTTCTAACCAAAGCTACAATGACCAACGAAAACAGAACGATCAGTGAAGTTATTAAGGGTTCTTTTCCCTGTATATCTTCCTCTATAGACCATGAAAAGTTCGTAAATGAAACTCATTTAAGGGGCTTGGCTGCAACTACAAGTGACAACCCCTGTAACTGATAGGGGCTGATGGCTCAGCTCGGCGGTTGTTGCGAAGAACACTCACTCACTCTGGAGCCACCGCTGCACTGGTGTAGCCATTGATGACGTGGTGTTGCTTTTCACCAGGTTCCCAGAAGGCAGCACATTTAACATCATCCTGAATCATTAATCTAGAGTACTCCTCATGGACATATTCCAGTTGAGCTTTTCCTCCAAACTCTGATGGAAGATTCTCCTCATCAAAATATGACTTCATAAGTTCCACACTCTCTTGCTTCTTAGGGTAAACAAATCTCACTTTCTGAAATGTTTTGGGATCTAAGAAGTATTTGACTACCTACAAGTAATAAACAAAATTACAAGAGGGTTTAAATGCTCGTCGTTCAAATTTTGCTAGAAGAATGATATGCCTTGTTTTATTGGTGTCTATACCATATGGAATGAAGAGATATTGCAAGATCTAAGAGAGCATAAACCATACCTTCCAGAACGCTTCAAATATCCTTGGGGGATTATATAGAAACGCTAGAGCTAGTCGCTCGGGATAGTGGTTCTGCAAGATGTTGACGGTTTCTCGTGCGGATTTGATTGGCACGCTGGTGCTAAGAGACCAACCATTAAAATCAATCAACCATGACATCTGTTCTTGACCTTCCGGAAGGTTGAGAAGAGCATTCTCCATAAGATATACCAAATGCCGAATTTGATTCTCTAATGATGTTGTGTTCTGTTAAAAAAGAAACAGTTCTGGGCTTTTAACACAAATTATTCTGAAATAGCTAAGAACTTGGATGCAAAATTTACACTACTAAAAAATACCTGCTTTCCTGGCTTCATTATGAGGACAGTTCTTCCTTCTCGGTCATGAAAACTTGCTCGATAAAGTTTTCCGGTCTCACTTTCAAATGCTATTTCAGGCTAAATGGTAAGACAAACTAAAATGATCAGTGTAAAGGCAACATAAATCTCCATTACTACTTTTCAACTCTTCACCTCTAGCTTCCATAGACATCAAGCTTTATGAAACTATTACATGCTTACCCAACGAATTTCATCAGGCTTATACATAGATCTCCATTTGAATGTCTCCTCCAACATTTTCTTTGCTTTGTCTACATTCCAATTCCTAGCCACTAGATATCTTTTCAAGCATGCATCACTGCAATATATTGCATTGCGTCCAACTAAGGGTCCTAACTTGGCCTTAAGCTCATTGACCTGCAAAATCGTAAAAATCTTATACTCAATCGTCTTCAAACCTGGTATAGAACACATGATCCAGAAAAATCTTCAAGATGGTTTAGATCGAATCAAGCCCAAACAAGTTCAAAATGTTAAATACATGGATCTGGGAGCCAGGAACCTACATGCACAATTTTCTTTGACCATCAACTCATCATACCTTCGATGTGATCTGTTCTTGACTGTTCCCTTCCTCGTGATGAGAAGTAGACCACCGACCAAACATTATAGCTGTGCAATCACGAACCTGTTACATTCAAACTAACAGAAATTCTCCGTTTCTTACATGAAAAAGAATAGTCTACTGCTTGATACGAACTTACTAGAAGGATCCGGACAGAAGTCTTCACTGGCAAAAACGAGATTAATTTGCCGGCAGAAGACTTCCAAAGAAGAAGGAGAAATCACCACAAAAAATCTCCAGTGGATTCCAAATTTCTAGGGCTTAACAGAAAGGCAAGCGCATTTTGAGCATCAAAATTCAAGGCAACAATCAAACAGTAACAAATCTCAGATTCCCAATCAATGACAGGACATTGCACTAAGATCGAAAAATCAAGAGAATTGCAGCGATTTAAACAGCTCGAGAAAGATGCTTACGCAAGTTAATTGTGCCAGATCGGAAACAAGCTCTCTCAGTCTTCTTCCTCGCAAAGTCGCAACTCCGTGTAGCAGTTAATTCCAAAATACGACGACAGTCCCTCCAAAGAGTTCGAAAAGGTGGAAGCTCCTTGATCTTCTCTCAAATATAAAATAATTTTAGGTCAGCGTCAGTGTTCGTCACAGCTATTTCACTGATGATCGGCCATAGAATATGAAACAAGTGCTGTATATGGATATTCGCTATCGCCACCGCCGGTGCACGCTCGGAAAGGAATCAACGGCCAAGAACACGCCACGTGTAGCACCCTCGAACTAAAGCTCATGAGAGAAACGTGGATGTTTTGTCCACTCGTCCACTCCTATGAGTCTATGCCATAGGCTTTCAGATATGATTATTAAACATAAAATTATTATAGAAGAAAATTACCGCCTTAGTCAAGTTGTCATTAATGCCCGAATCATTTAGGATCTCTTTAATGTTCTTACTAATTTATTTTATCTATTTATAATAAATAAATAATATTAAAGAACATTTAAAGGATTTTAAAATGCAACTTATTTAATATTTTTGGCAAAAAAAAAAAAAAAAAAGGAAGTTATTTTATTCCCAAAAGATGTGTTTACAAAAGGGAGCCCCTACCTTATAATTACCTTAGGTTAGGGCTGTGGGAAGTAGGAATTAGTTACATTAATTACAATCTATAAAGTATAAAATGACCCTAGGTACAAAACTAAGCTGGCGCTAATAATTTAATGGCCTCCTTGTGAGGGCTCTTAGCTACGTGAATAGTTCAATGTGCTCATCAGCAACTGATTCTCAGATGTAGATTATACAAGGCACACTAGCATGAAGTACTCCAAACTTCTCCTCAGGAGGATAGATGGGTAGATTCAGATGAGACCTGATATAAATTAAAGTTTCACTAGTTACATTTAATTCCCTATCCCTATCTAGCCGTATGCATTACAATTACTCCCCTACTGGCCTAGCAGTGGCCTGAGCCATCCTTCTCCTTTTGCAAGAACTCAAGCTGCAGTTGTTCAGCTCCAGAGAGCCAAGAAAGCGGCTAAGCTGTCTCACTTGAGAAATGTAGAGTAAAGTCTGTTTGGAGCTTAGAGTTTATGTACAAAATCAAAGAACATCCGAATTAAAAGGCCATTGCAAATCATCTTTCGACGTTGGCTAAACATGCTAGAAGAAAGTGGAACGCATAAACGTCACATAAAGAAATGGATCAGATTGCATATAATTTGTAGAACAGTTGATAAGAACGTCAGATATGATTCTTCCATAATGAAAGTTGCGGAATTTAGCTAAAAATGTAGTTTGGCAATGCTTGGCAGTGAGAAACGCAATCGTGCATATAGACAATAACGAGTTCAGTAAATGGTATGATTTCAAATTTGCCATATTGACAGCTCGAGATGGGTCGATGCAATTAGACCATAACGACTTTAGAAAATGGATATAATTCGAAATTCGTACCTCGAAGAGGGTGGAATCTCACCGTCGATTTAGTTTTTGCTGCGCACACGGCTCTTTGTAATAGTGGACGTGCAAAGACTGAGCAAAACTACAGAAAGAACCGAAGAAAGAGAGACAGGGAGAGAGGGAGAGGGAGGGGGAGAGAGAGAGAGAGATTGGGAGAGGGGAGCCGGATAAAAGGGCACCGTGCCATCCCCTCCCCCGAACACTCGAAAATGGAACTTTTTATTGAAGCACTTTGACCTGCCAAGCAAGCGCACCTGTCATGGCAAAGGTCGACGACACAATGGCAACAAAGCTTCAAATATATACCTTTTCACGGCTTCCAATGGCCTACCATTGGGAAGCCCTTCAAGATACATATATTTACCATTGACACTAAATAATCAAATTCTCATATAATCTACTCCCAGATGTTGGGACTCCAAACCTTTGAAGCCAAATTAATGGTGTGGATGCAGAATATCTCAAACGAGGGGTTCAAGAAATTCCCGCACACTTGACAAGAAGCCTGCAAAATGACCTGCAAACTTAAACTTGGATATTCTGGGAATGGATAAAAATGGTAAAAAACGATGATTTGGAAACATCATTCAAGAAACAAAACTCATAATCTGAGGGCGGAATCAGAAATGGCCATACCTGAATTGAAACTCCAAATTGTATATAAACTCCTATCATGGGAAATATCTCTCCAACCCCGACCTTCGTAGAGAGGCTGTTGGCTACAAATCGAATTCATAGCAATAAGTGGCCGATAATGGCGAGGCTTTTCCTGGTAGAACTCACTATGCAGTGAAGAAACCAATGGCATTTGATGATGACAACCAATGAAACAAAAAGAACAATTGAAGCTGCTAGGAAGGAGGAGTTACCGCGATCTTGGTGATTCTAGAACTTCAGGAGGCGATCCAGAAAATTCAACACATCTACCCTTGATCGAGGCATTTCTTTTGATAAACACTCTGTTTTGTTTTGTTTTTTTTTTTTTCTTTTTTTTTTTTCTCTTTTTCGGATGGAAAATCTTTTTCAGAACGGTGTGAATCAAAGCCATCTTTGAAATGAAATTGAGATACTGATCCAGATTCTCAGAATTTCGAAACCGTAACAAACACTGTCATCGTCAAGCTGATATTCCTTCTCTTTTCTCTTAGAACTTAGCTCTGATAAATATGACTGGGAACAACTCCTATCTCCGGGCACTACTGCTCGAAATGGTCAAGAACGCAGATATTTTCTTCAGAAGTAATCAAAATTCTTCATCGTCTGAAAGATTTACAAGCAGTTCATCAGACAGAGTTCAAAGATACGCAAGGGTGACAACAATCACAGGCTATTTAACAGAATCGAGATCGATTTGGAGAATTTCAGAGAAAAACAATCAATATGTGCCCAATAATGAAACTGACGATCTTAAACGTCTAGCAATAACGAAACAATAAATAACTAGAGCATAAAGAGTTCCCGTTCATAAATATTCATGGCGTCGGGATCTCTTCTCAAATACTAATCAAAATTCGTCCATATTTCATTTCAATTCGATTATGATTTATGAATAGTAATCAATCCAAAAAAAAGCAGTACCATCATACAAACACACAATTGTGGAGAAAAAAGATCCAGAAACAATACTTGAATACTGTAAGCCCTAGGGCGAGAGAACAGGTTGGTTTACCAGATGAATCCATATGTTTAGGGATGAATCCGTGATGCTGAGAGAACAGGTTGGTTTACCAGATGAATCCATATCTTTAGGGATGAATACGTGATGCTCCAAGCCTTGAGCGCTAAAGAACAGGTCGGTATACGAGAAAAACGCTCTCTGATTCAATTCTATACCTACAGATTTGAAAATCTGTATGCTCTCTGATTCAATTCTATACCAAGAGATTTACGGGAGAAAAATATGAATAGAAAAGTCTAATTATAAATTATTTCTAAATGAACGGTTAGATTTCGAGTTTGATAGAGAAATTAGTTTTCAAATCAACGGTGAGATTTCGTTTACAAATTAACCGCTGTTATTCATCTATGCGTAACTAACAAGACAGATTCGATCTAAATTAAACAAGGATATTATAAAATTTTATACTATGGTTTATATTATTCTAATTTAAAATACAAACTTGTAAACATTTAAACTAAAAAACACTAATTATAAATATAGTCAATATATACATAATTAAATATAAAATAGAAAAACGCGCAAAAATAAAGTTTTTCGTAATATTATTGAATAACTTTGTAGTATTATTATATAAAATATTTTTTAAAATAAAAATTCTATTTAAATCGTTAATTCTTGATAAGAAAAAAAAAAATTAATTTTCTTATAAAAACAAAATAATATTTCATCTGGGCGGGTTAAATAGCAAAAAACATTCCCCACTTGTCCGACCCATACAGGGTATTATGCATTTTAAACTAAATCGTTTGAAACTCTTTTGTTAATACAAAAAATATTTCAACGTCGAGGTGTAAAAGAAGAACATAGGCCTCGAGCACGCTATCATTCGAGAACGGAGATACTTATAAATGTAAGTGAATGAACAAATGAATGAGAGAGTGAGAGAGTAAAAAGGAGCATAAGGTGAAGAAAAGGAAAGAAAGCTGACACAGAAGGCTTGGACGAGAAGCCCTTCAATATCTTAGCTGTTGCTTAAATTGTAATGAAAGTAAAATGCAACAGTAAGAAAGGCTTTCACGTCAACCTTTTAAAAGCCAAAATTTCAAACCTCCATTCATCTTTGGTTCACAACACAACACACACACACTACCCATCTCACCCAACCATGAGAGAACCATGGCAACAACAATGAAAACGAATCACAGCAATCTTACAAATACACTCTCTCGTTTGGTAGATCAGAAGCTAGCTTGAGCTCCCAACCACATGGCTAAGAGATCAGATTTTGCTCAGAAGCTCTTAGATGATCTCAGGTTAAGGAAGCAGCGGATGGCCGCTGCGTCGCACTCCTCCGACCGTTCCAAAACCACAACCATCGGTTAGTAAACTCTTCTAACTTAGAATTCTTCTTTTGATATTCTTTCGAAACCAAATGGATTACTGTGAGATCCCACGTCGATTGGGAAACATTCTTTATAAGAGAGGGGAAGCCTGATCTGTTAGCGGTGAGCTTGGACGGTTACAATCACATTCTACCGAGCGCTATCTGTTGATAATTTTGAAACAGATAACATGTTATTACAGAAGAATAATCACGATGAAGCTTTTCTCGGGGGAATTATTCTTTTTTGTTTTTTCTTTCCATGAATACAAGCAATACTAAAGCACAGCGAAAACACGGTTAACTTGCAAGAGAAGTTCAAAAGGAACAACACCAAAAAGTAGTTATTTATCTCTTATGAAGTGCAGCACAACAGATCAATTTGATGCCATATTGCTTTTATAATTTGCATAATTATCAACGTCACAAAACGAGTCGAGTCATAAAAGGCCTCATACGAGATAGTGTTCCTTACTTATAAACCCACGATCTTCCTCTTAGTTAGCTAATATATCTTAAATGAGCTCTACATGTTGTTTGAGTGTTTTTTCTTTTCAGATGCATATGCTTACTCGAAACAAATTCATAGAGGATCGAAGAACGCTAGAACACACGGAACGGTACGCAGAACTCTACATAGAGGAGTTGGTTTACAATGCTTCCTTGTTTATCTTATACTGTTTCACGTATGATTCAATGCAGAGTGTTCCCAGTAATACAAGGTATGGTGGAGGGAATAAATCACCAATGACCAATGATACTTCAAATCAGATTGTTCCCTTCACTAGAGGCCGGAACTCAGAACAAATAGGAGACTTATCCATGGCCTTAGCTTTTGCACTTGAAAATGGAGGAAAACTAAGAGGAAATACATCATCTGGAAACAATTTAATGCTCGGCTTCCTGCAACAAATCGGAAGGAGTTCGTTCGAAGTCGGGAAAATGAACAAAAGAGGCGGCCTGGACAGGAACCAGAATGCAAGTGGCTATTTTCCAACCATCTCACATCTTCATATTAAGGAGATATCAAAAGGGGCACAGAAATTGAACCAGATCTTGACAACTTGCTCTAATGGAGATTTTGGGAGATGTTCCATAGAAATTGGACAGGAACTGTTGAAGGGAGCTGTGAATTTGGAGGAGTCTTTGAGGATGCTTGTGAACTTGCATGAGGCCTCAGAGCACATGATCAGACCACAACATAAGAATAGGATTGTGCTTTTAGAGAATGAAGATGATACTGATGAAAATAAACATGATATCAACGGGAATCGTCACGAACAGAAGCTAGCGACCCTGAGATACACAGAAGAGCAACCTCTAAACACTGTGAAATTTAGTTTCCATAGAAGAACAGCAAGCTGTGGTCATGATATCAAAACTTCAAACACACGTGAGAAGGTGGGGATTTCTAATGTAATTGCAAAACTAATGGGACTAGATAATCTTTCAGACAATTCAAACTATGCACACCAGGACTCGGGTTCCAAGCGAAAGGTCGCAGATCTGCAGCCAACAGCCAGGGGTATCGGCCTGGCCGAGCCAAGGACTAATATTAAAGGAAGTCGGTCCGGTTCCAAGATTCCAAGAACAGCCATATCAGATAAAAATTCAGCTGTGGTGAACACCATATTTGATGCAAGTCTTCAAGCCATCACTTTTCGTGGAAAGCCATCATGGAAAGACATGGAAGGAATAAGGCCACAAACTAGCCCATCAACACCAACCATCACGATATTTCGGCAGCAACGAAACAAGAATGAGACGAGACAGGAAGTCTCGAGTCAGAAGGACGATCTGGAAGGACTTACAAAGCAGCTTCACGTAAAGCACAGGGAGAAAAAAGGCACAGATAGGGATGACTATAGAGAAGTATTAAAGAACGGAGTGCAGCCGAGGAACGACCGGGACGGTCGTATGAAGCCTCATCACCAAAAGAACAGGGAGCTAAGCACCACGGAAAGGGACCAAAAGAGAGGAGAGCTGAAAAAGGACAGGATGCAGCAGATGAAAAAACAAGAAAGAACACTTCCATTGGAAAAGAGACATCCAGACAACCTTAAATCAAGAATGCAGCAACAGCCGCCAAACAGTCCCAAATACCAGCAGCCACCAATGCTCACAGAGAAGAGAAATCAAAAGAATGGAAAATCAATGGTGCAGGAGAGAAATCAAAAGAGAAATGGGAACACGTTCAAGAGTTTAACAAAACCAGTCCATGACACTTTCACTTTTCCAAAGAAGCAGCAGGATATGAACCATGTCAGACAAAGTAAGACAAGCTGCAAAGAAACCATCATAGCTCACCACTCTTACGCCCTTCCTAACAATAGATGTCCTAAACATCCTTCCAGAGAAAACAACAGCTATGATTTAAATAACAAAACAAGCGAGATAACCAACATTAGCGTAGAACAAACTGAGCCAGTTATGGAAGAGCAACGTGCTAAGATACATGTGAAGAATGATTCCAAATCTACAAAGATGCCTAGAAATAATGAAGCAGATGCAAGAGAACAGCGAATTCCAATACTACAGGAGGTAGAACAAAACAATGATGCATTAAATCGACTGGACGTCGTCGGACCACATGGATCTACAGAAGTGGAAGCTCATACCATTGAATCCAGAGAAACAATAGTAAGCCTCCAGCCACTTATTAGTGCACAAGATGCACACGAAGAGACTGAGCGGGTTTTGGCACCGCCCAGCCCTGCTGAAGATGAATGCCATAGCTTGAAAGAGCCACAAATATCAGCTCCAAATGACAGTGTAAGTTCAACTCTTCTTGAGTTGTCAAATTTTAAGTTCAATATATTCTAACTATCTGTTAACCCTTGCCTAATCTTATGCAGTGCCAGAAAACAATCTCAATTAGTACTAGCAATCAGCAAGATCAGAGGACAGTTTTTGGCAGTGGTGTAATCAACGGCTCCAATATTGTGATTAATGCAGTAGAAGGTAAGCGAGACTTCAATTTCCCATCTTTATTCCATAAATATAAAGTAAGCCTATCTTCTTCTGTTCTAAATTCACTACATTTAATTCTTTATGGCACAGAAGCAGAGAAATACGACATTAACAAACTATATCCCCCACATTTGAAGCACCTACATAGTTGTTCCAAGTCAAGAAAACAAGAGATATTGACAGAAAGTGAAAACCAACTTAAGCAGACGCTTATAACGAGTGAATGGTTCCTGAATGCAGCAGAGGCACTTTTCAAACTCAACATCCCCAGCTTCATTCTTCATGACAGTGGTCATAGCCATTTAAAAAATGGAAAAAATGTCATGATAGATTGTAGTTACGAGCTCATGAAGCGAAAGGGCATACGGCAAGAGCTCAACAATCGTCCTAGTACAAACATTTCTTTGAGGTCCAACAAAATAGGATCTTTAGATGAGTTGATTAAGCAGGTGCATAGAGACATTGAGGCATTGAGATTCTATGGTAAGAATGGTAACTTAGAATGTGAATTGCAAGACTACTTGCCCAAAATGCTTGAAAGTGATATCTATAACCAGGAACCTGACTTAAATAGCATGTGGGACTTGGGATGGAATGAGCCCACATTCGTGTTTCTTGAAAGAGAGGAGGTTGTAAGGGGTGTGGAAAAGTATGTTCTGAGTGGACTGCTCGATGAAGTCACAAGAGACCTTGTACATGTCTATCTTTTGATGAAAGGAAAGGGCAGAGAAATTTGAGAAGAACAATGGTTCGAAGTTTGATGCAATTTGTTGATTTTGAAACTTCCCAAGTCTAATGATGAACATATTTAACTCAACTTGTTGGTTTTGGAATTGTAATAGATAAGTTATGGCAGTGTTCTTGAAATTCTGCATGTCAAGAATGTTCATACTTCTTATTTTGCTTCTCGAAACCCACCACTAGTAGGTATTGTTCTTTTTGAGCTTTTCCTTCTAAGGAGAGGTTTCCACACCCTTATAAAGAATGTTTTGTTCTCCTCCCCAACCGACGTGGGATCTCAAAACCCACCCCCTTAGGAGCCCAGCGTCTTCGTTGGCACTCGTTCCCTTCTCCAACCGATGTGGGATCCCCCAATCCACTCCCCTTTGAGGCCCAACATCCTTGTTGGCACACCATCTCGTGTCCACCCTCCTTCATGACTTGACCTCTTTGGGTTTTCCCTTTCGGGCTTCCCCTCAAGATTTTTAAAAAGCGTACGTTCGGGAGAGGTTTTCCCACCCTTATAAATAATGCTTCCTTCTCCTCACAAACCGATGTTGAATCTAAAAAATATGGCTCCTGAGGGTGAAAACAGACCATGCCCAATTTCCTACACTTAGATGACATCGATGATCAATACCCATCATTGAAATCAAGCCATTAACTACATTCAATATAGAAAAAAGAAGAAATGAATGAACGAATAGTGTTTTGTCTTTGATTGGAATCGATCGACAGTTGTAAATAGTTCGGAAAATTAAGGAAATGCAGAAATAAGTGAACTCAATCGGATAGCTTACCTTGGCGTGATAATGGAACAAAGGATCAATGCTTCAAAACAACGTTCCTTTTCCTGGTTCAGAAAGTATCGAGAAAACCCCATGAACGACAAATTAGTCAATAGAACGACAGCTCCGATCAGAGAGAGACGTACCGTACATAGCCCGTTGGATTCAAAAGCTGTCTTATATACCAATGGATCAGATTCAAAGTCCAACGGATCAGATTCAAAGTCCAATGGATCAGATTCAAGTTGCTTCATCGCCAATTAATCCCACGATCGTAAAGCTCGCTCTCCTTTATGCTTTGTTCATAAAGTAGTGACCATTATTTAACAAGTAATTGAGAATCTAACCTTTTGCCCACGGCGAGTTTTCATGTAAATGCTTTGCTTTCTCACAGCTCAAAGCACCCACAGAAATGGGGTCACGTTTGAGCGATGGGATCACTAATGTTGCTTAATAGCTAAGTAAAAGCTTCGAATTTTTTTGTTTTTTTTTTCTTGTTTTTTTTTTTTTTTTTTTTTTTTTTTTTTTTTTTTTTTT